CCTACAATTTTTTTGAGATAGCTGAGAAGATTAGCACTCTCTTGTTCCCTCTAACCGGTGTTGATGCGCCGAAATGATAATGTTAATTTGTAACCTAACATTTCTGTTGGTATATTGAAGACCAGTCACATCTTTTGAGATTGCTCGTTAAATGTTTTATTTAGCTCCCCAGCTACATTGTCTCACGACACTGACCAACGAGTTTTTTTAGACAGCTGAGAATGTTGACATTCTCCCGTTTTACTTGACGGTGGTTGACGTCGGGATGCTGCCAAAATTTATGGTGCTAAGCTTTAATATTCCAAAGTTTAAACTATTCACAAGTCCAATTTGAAACATGATAGCTACTGTTAAGCTTGCTTGGGTTAAACCTTAGGGGCTAACAAATTGAATTAAATATGAAATCTATAAATTGGAGGGGCTAAGCTTAAATTTAATGTGAAATATCATAAATTGGAGGGGATAAGCTTGTAAGCTTAACTAAAATATAAGTTATTATAAATTAGGAGGGCTTAGCCTAAATTGAATATGAAATGTCATAAATTGGGAGATTAAACTTAAATTGAATGTCAAATTCTGCGAATTGGGGGCTGAGCTTAACTTAAAGGTAGGGCTGTTAAAACGACTCATTGTTCGCGAGCAGCTCATGTTCTGCTCGTTAAGAAGCTCGTGTTCGGTTCATTCGCTAAATTAACAAGCCGAATACTAATAAAAACTTGTTCGTTCGTGTTCGACTTGTTTTGGCTCGAAATACTACTCATCAATTATATATATATATATATTGATGAGTAGTATTTTTAAAAAGTTTAATTGATTATATGGCTACAAAGATTTATAATCAATTAAAAGTATTAATTAAGAAAATAAAATAAAAATTATTCAATTAGATTCGAATGATGTTTTAATATAAACAATAATTTTTAAATCTTGACCCAACCCTTAACATCTTTTAGTTACGTGATTAGGGTTGTTAAAACGACTCTTTGTTCGTGAACAACTTATGTTCAGCTCGCTAAACAAACGAGCCGAACACGACCACACTTTTTGAGCTTGAAATATAAACGAGCCGAACATGCTCAGCTTGTGTTCGGCTCATTTACACTCCTACTTAAAGGTTAAATATCATAAATAGGGGCTAAGTTTAAGACATCAATGTCGTTTTTAAATGCTAAAATAAAGAATTAATATTTTGATCTCGCCATCGGATTCACAACACACTTACTAGCGAATATAAAACGTTCCTTTTTAAACTCTAAAATCATATATTTCTTTAAATATTCCAAGTTCTAAATGATAAAAAAATGTTCATATTTAAACTTCAAAGTCAGTTCTTAAAGTCAAATGCAAGGATTTGAAATTTGTACACGTGCTTTTATGATATATGAATAACAATTTGACTACTCTCAAGCTATAAATATTTTAAGATATTTATGAGTCAACTATGCACAATCTCAAAAACTTGTATAACATAATTAAAAATAAATAAATAAAAGCCCGCTTGTGTTCTAACCAATGTATTGAATGCTCAAACACTAAGTTCAAGAATGCTATGTCCCATCCAATTGATCCAAGTCCACTCCTTGTAAGGACTGAAGTTGACAAGTCTAGTAGGCTTAATAACGTCTAAATCCTAAAAATAAGAATTTATAAGTCCATATCACTTTTTTCAATCCTCCTCTTTGTAAGGACAAGGGTCGACACGGCTTATACCCTGATGTTTAATTTAATAATACTAAATGTTCCCCTCATTCAAATATAAATGTTTCAAATGCTTAATTTCCCGTTGATGGCCGTATTGATTTTCAAATTTAACATGAGGGGTTAATCTTTAATATAAAGATTTTTAAAATAAACAAATAATATGCAAGTAAAATTCAATCACTTAAATGCTAAAAGCAAAATCCATCCACCCTCCGCTATAGTTTGTTGAGGGTGATGAATTTTTGATTGACTTCAGTTCACCAAGAGTGAATGTCATATCAAATGCACCTCTATATTCACAATAAAAACAGTGATATGTGAGTAAGGACGTGATTGGAGTGTTCTGTTCTCGCGGATCTGCCACTAAATGACACTACAAAATAGCTGTTACAAATAAAAACCTTTGATGGGGTGGTTGCCGCCAAATAAAACAAGTATATTATGGTCACGGTCAGCCCGTATGCTTCTCAATGACTTTCTACTCTTTGAGTTTTGAATTATAAGTATACAATTATTTAGCATAAGACCTTATGTTAGTTAAGGTCAACTTAAATTTGCTTCCTTAAACAAAATATCCATTCCATATCTACAAGGATCTCTTTAACGACGTAACCATGGTTGCTGACAAGAATTCTTCAGTAAAGTTAGGTCAAATACTTCCTCTAAGTAGATCAGGGACCATGACGATTCGATATGACGAAGACATTAAATCTTGATCGGGTTTAGTCTTCATTCCCCCACCATTCACTTTAAGTTTCAAGTGATAAATTGTACAATTTAAATCTTAAGTATACGGTTATTATATGTTAAATATTCAATACTCAATGACCATTCTTAATTGAAAGTATTCTCTCATTATTGGAAGGGGTAATTAACCTAAGTGCTTGCTCCTATGAGAAACCTTAAACCCCAGATAAAAAAATTCTCGCAAAATGAGGGCGAAATCTCTTGATGGTTTCTTATCTACAATCTAATTTGTTTTTTGAAAATTTAACACTCTAAATCTCTCTCAAAACAAAACTAAAACAAATGTACAGAGTTCATGGGGAGCGGTCATGAATTTTCGTAGCCCACAAATGGGAGATTTTATTGCCTTAAAAATAGGCGGAATCAATAAATTCTACATTCTTCTCGGTTGTCTTGAAATTTGACAATAGAAGCAATTGATTGTCCAAGACTTTTTAGGAGCCAAGTAAGAACATGATATTTAGAGTCTGTTTGGGGCAGCTGTAGCTTATTGAATAATCTGCTGATAAGCTTATTAAAAATAATCTGTTGATAAACTAGGTGTGATGACTATTATAAATTTTTATTTTTTTGGAAAGCCAGACTGCTGCCAGAAAGTTCCCACCGCATCTAGATAGGTGCGGTGTGAAAACGCTGTTTTCGGCTTTTTGAAAACGCATAAAACTGTCAAAACACAGTTTACCCAAACAGGTTAGGTGCGTTTTCAAAATGTCACCACACCAAATAAGCTGCCCCAAACGGTCCCTTAGAATCTTGCCATTGTGAAAGCTTGATCGTGTCATTTCTTAATTAATGAGAAACATTAAGGTGATGACTAATAAACTTTGTTATGCGAAGCTGCAAGAATTCAAAAACCTCTTGATAACTTGAGATATTTCATACAATCAAATTTTATCGTGAAGGATTTTTTTTTTCTCATTAAGAGGACAGACAAAAGCCATGATACTGTAAGGGGTGAAACTGAGGGACTTGAGGAAAGACTAAAATAATGAAGACGCAAACTTAAGTATGATTGTTCATTTAAGGAGGATGAACGACAAGGTTGGGCATAGCTGTTGGCGAGCGTAGGATGTAAGAGTCAACTGTGAGGGATAAACCGCACATGTTAAGTGATTTGAAGATCGCATGCAATGTGAATGCATTTAAGTTGGGGAGTTATATTATACAAAAATTCGTACCATGGATGATTATAAGGTCACTATTCCTAATTTTGTGTACGATCAAGAGCAAGAGATTACAGGGAAATGTAATGAGGTGTTTGGCGTGACACAAAAGCAGGGCATTATAGTTGCATTATGAATGGTACGAAATTGAGCATGACAAGGTATGGTGTAAGTAGATGAAAGACAATGTGATGGTGCCATGAGCATGAAAAATGAATACAATGAGACTCTAGGGCATGACTAGAGCTTGTGATGGGTAGGTGGGTTAGAAATTTACAATGAGCTTTGATACTTCGTTTTGATTACAGATTCGATGATCTTATTGACTGAAGAACAATGTCTATTTATAGGCATGCAATATGAAAACAAAGAAAAGAGAAAAAAAAAAGAGATTAAATATAATTAAGGTAATAATTGACAGAAAATAAAGTAGAGAATAGATATAATTAAGGTAGAATAAATATTTGTTCTTCTTAAATTATATACTCTTCCAATATTAAAATTTTCAAATAAGCATCATCCATTAAAATAGATAATAGTCAGGCCAGCATGTTAAGTTTTGAAGTCCGATAAGAGTTATGACATGCTCATAGACTGAAAATTTCTTTGAAACAATAAAATTCTTCAAACTAGATGAAATTGAGCTAGGATGTAATGAAAATGTAAACCAAGATGAATGGTAAGGGGTAACTTTCTTGCAATAATTTTCAAAATTGAATCCATTTGGCTGTGTTATACGTTGTTCTCTTGTTGCAGAAAGATTATCTGTATGGCTGTTAAGTTCATATAGTAAGCTGTACCAAAACTTCTTGTTATTGTAAGGGAGCATGGAACATCATAAGTATAATGTGACCAAATTATTTTTGATTTTTAGTCGAAAATTTATTTATATGCCATTCAATCACGCTGATGCGGCTTTGTCACACTTAAAATTGGTATACATCCTAGAAGGTTTTAAGAATCAAATCATACGAGCATGGCTAAATTCTATTCAATATTTTTAGAGTGTTCTCAAAATATTTAATAGAAGTTACTAACAAGTTAGTAAAAGAAAAACTGCTAAACTTGAAATGAAAACCACAACCCCTCAGGATAGTTGTCAGTTATTGGGTTGCCAGACAGCATCAGGAACTGAGTACTGAGCTGATAGACTAAGCAAGATTTAGCCTTAGGATTACAAATATCAACATGATAGCATGTTTTCTCGAAGGAAAACATTCAGTGTTTTCTATGGAATATTTGAACTTGTTGTTGCATATTAGTTTCTTCCTTATTTTAATCTTTTCTATTTACCTAATTGTTGGATATTCATGCATTTATTACTTCAGTTTCTCTTGTTGTATCTTGTCAACTCTTGGAACAATAATTGTGTTCAAAAGCTTGTTTCAGGTCTGTATAGATGTTTTTGTTCAAAGACTTGGTGATGCAACCGCTGCCGTGATTTATAAAATACTCTCTGGCGACCTTAACAAGGGACCATCTTCAGTTTCTCTTTATGCTTTACCAGTATGTTAGCCTTTCTCTGGAACTCATTCTTTACATTTTTTTTGGTAGCAGTGTATTGATAAAATTGAAATGCGTTAGATCCTCTAGAGCACTCAATGTTCCATTTCTCAGAACAATGGACGCCCATAACCATGTATTTAGATATTGTCAGTGAGGAACACATATTGGTGAATAATATGATATAAGGAATGATCGATCCAACGACTGGGATCTTTTAAAAATTCCGCCTAAAATTTATTGTGTGCAGTCTAAAATTTGGTATTATAGGGACATTTGACATTATTAGCTTATGATTGATTACAATTCAATCTCATTTCTTATTCACCAAGCGGCGTAGTTCAATTTTTTTTTGTAGTGTCAACCAATACGTCTCAGTTTCTTTTTTGGTGCCTTTTATTTCAATATTCGGTTTTTATGATGCTGCTGAGGGAAAAAAATTGCTGACAAGAAATTACAATGGAATTGTGACATCCCTCAGCTTTGGTCTCCCAAATCTTGCAACTTTTGTGGCTGTAATCGGGTTCACCATTATCGAGTATGTTTAATAACTCCAAATTGAGTTCAATGATCTTACTCACATGTACTATGTTTGATGTTTGTTTCCCTAATTAACATGTTTTCATGATTTAATTTGTATTCAAGCCCCTCGAATATTTTGTAGATCATGGGAAAGAAAGTCAGAATGGAATAATCAACCCTTGAATATTTTGTAATTTAGATGGGTCATTATCTTCCAAGTTGAAGGTTCCTTGGTTGGCACACTAGTGCATAAATTTTGATCCCACCACTAAATTGCATAAATTGAAACAATTATTATACTACGTCATCATCATTATTAGTCTTATGCTAACCATTTTGGATTGACACCATGAATTTTTTTCTCTATCACCACCTCAATCATTCATTTCTTTTAGGCTAATTCTTATTGTCATCCTCTCTATTCCACTCTCTCTAAAAATAGACAGTAAAAAAAAAAATAATAAAGAAAAAAATAGAGAAAAAAAGATCTTTGTCATTTCATTATTGTAAATTTGTTGCTTCATCGTTGTCATTATTGTATGATGTAGGAAGCTATTAAAATCAATCTTATAAAAACTAAAAATTTTACTTGTAATGCGTTTGACATGACGAGCAGAACCCATGTATTTTGTTCTTGTTGTGATGGGAGAAACTAACGACCCCTCCGACATATTGGGTAGGCTGTGTTTTTGTAGCATGATGAGAAAATTCAAATTTAAGTGCTTCTGCAATACTATGACAAAATCTCTATACAAACTCGTTTGTAGGAACATGAAGACCGATGTATGCTTTTCTTGCTGATAGGATAGAAGGCTCCCAAACGATGGTATCTTAGGTACTACCATGCACACATTTTTTTACACGATGGGCGTGATTAGCATTCCCCATAAATGCTCTTTACATGGGGGAGACGTGAGATTTTTGACATTTCAAGTGAAATGAATTTTCAGATAACAACAAATTGAAAGGGGCTTTTTGAACTCCAAATGAAAAAAAAAAAAAAAAAACAGATAAATCAAAATGAAAGAATACAATATTACAAAATGAGAATAAAATGATCATTTTAAATGCAACACATACTGCATCAAGTGAACTAACAAGGACATTGAACTGTAGCATGTGGAGGTAGGAATGGGAGAGTGCGGGTAGAGGTTGCTGTAGCATTTGGAGAGGAGCTGTTGGTAGGTGGTAGAGTTGGTGTTGAGCAGGCCGAGGGAGGGACTAGGAGGGGTGTATCTGTGGAAATTGTGGGTGTGGTGGGTGTATCTGGAGGAGGGTATGATTGGCATGGAAAGACACTCTCATCGAAGATGACGTGTCGAGAGATGAATAGTTTCCCTGAAGTGGGTTGATAGCATATATAGCCCTTACGGTCAAGTGAGTAGCCAATAAACCCATATGGTTGAGAGCGACCTGCGAGTTTGTGATTAATGTGGGCACAGCCACAGGTAACATCGACATCCAAACACTTTGAGATGAGAGTAGGTGGGTGTATGTTTGTGGAGTAGTTCATGGGGTCATGGTAACCTTGGATGACATCGTGTTAATGAGATAGGCTGCCGTAAAGACAGTGTCTACCCAAACCTGGAGTGGCAGAGAAGCGTCATGTAGTAGTGTACGTGAAGTTTCAATAAGATGGTGGTGTTTACATTCAACAATGCCGTTTTGTTTAGAGTCGTGAGGTTAGAGAATTGATGAAGGATACCATTATGACTGAGAAAGTTCTAGAGTATAGAATTTTTTTATTCGCGCCACCATCAGGTCGAAAAATACAGACGGTGGTAGTAATTGAGTACGAAGCATTTTTTCATGAAGTGATACATTTGGATGCAATTTTGGTATTATTCATCATAGGAAAAACCCAACCAAATCATGAGAAATCATTAACGAAAAGTTTGTATTTATATCCTAGAGTAGATTAGGTGGGTGCTTGTCTCCATATATTTGATTGTATTAAATGCAACGATGCATATGTATGTAAAGGAGAAAAGGAAAAATGTTGCCTTGACTTTTGTTCCAATTGCAACTATTACATATAGAATTAGGTATTTTTTTGCATACATTAGGTGTATGCTGGGATAAAAACTTAAGAGCATCGGGATGTGGATGACCAAGGCATAACATAAGGTTGACGGTTGTGTGAACGAAGCAAGAGCTTGAATTTGTTGGGGAAGAGATTGGATTGGGCACAAGCCATTAGAGCTGATGCCCCAGAGTGGTGGTTGCTTTGCCTTTGGATCAAAGATAGTAAAAATGTTCATGTTAAAGAGAATAACAACACTGTTGTAACGAATTAGTATATGAAAGCATAATCAGTTATAGGACAAAGTGGGAGCATGTCATATTTTAGGTAACAAAAGCTTTTGGTGAGATGTCAGAAGAATACCCAACATTGTATGTACAACGGGAACTGATTGGCTGGTTCCCACCGTGAGTTGTTCTACCTCAGTTGTTGGAGTAGCTATCTGGAGGTGGTTGAAATGTGAAGTGAGGTGTGTTGTAGCTCCGGAGTTCAAAGCCTAATTTGAAGCAGCTTCTTCTAAGTCTGATTTTGGAGAGGAGCACTCAAGATTGTACTTGTGCCAACATGTAGCTGCAAGGTGACCAAATTTGTTGCATATTTGGCATGTAACTTGTAGTCGAGTTGTGCTTCGACCACCCCTGGTTCAAGCATAGTGTTGAGATTGGCCGCAGCCTCTAGTGGGAGTGACCGGTTGACTACGAGTGGTTTGGGGGGCAAATTGAGGAGTGGGAGGCTGCTCGTCTATGATTGTTGTTGGCGATATTGAGCCGTAATGCGGGTTTGGGACTGGTGGTTCGATAGAAGTTTCGGTGAATCTAGGGGGACATGGTGTGGTTCCATCGAGAAACCCTAGGAATGCATTTGGTATAAAAATTTTGAGGTCTTATGCCTTTCATATAGGATAGTGTTTGCATATAATGGGGTTTAGGTGAAGGTGTTTGAGATCAGCTATCAAAAACATCAGAGAGGGACGGATAGAAGTGGTCGGAATCTGCTCGATTGAGGTTGAGTTACTATTTTCCGACCTCTGAAAGGTCTACATAATCTCCCGAGTTGAATCCATAGAAGGAATAAGCTCGAATGATCTTGAGCCTAGTGCTTGGATACCATGAAGAACTTGAAGAAAAGAGCACGGCAACCCAACGGAAACACACAGGAAATTGATAAACAAAAATATGCGGAACAGCCTCATACGGCTCACAGTCCCGTAACAGAGCCTTAAGCAAAAGGTAAGTTTCTAGAGAGGTAAATTTACTTATCTTGCCCTTATACAATAGACTGCAGGACCCAAATCCGGCTCTTTCCTTCTCTATTTTTATAACAAGTGAACCTTGGTCCTGTAACGGAGGTTGTGCACATCACATCTACTCATGAAATCAAGCATTTCTTGAGCAACCATAGAATGTATTAAAGGTTTGCCACTTTTTTTTATCATTTTGGGAGTAGATACAATTGAAATCCCCTCCAATGAGTTCTGGAGTAGAGATCAATCCAGCACATCAGCTCATCCCACAGCCTCCATCTGACAAGGTGATCTTTATTAGCATAAATGTTCGCAATGCTCTCTTCCTGTTGTCTAGGAATTGGGCAGTCCCAATAATGCATTATTCATGATTGCTGCTAATGACCGAGAACACCAGTTCTCTTCTCCAAAGAATGATAACCCCTCTGAATTTGCCATTTTCTGGCTGGAACGAAAAGTCCCAATTAATGCCAGCCATGCAGTCGACCTCATTATGGCTAAGATCAGCAGTACGAGTCTCTATAAGTCCTGCAAACAAAAGTTTATGCTCCCCAGTTATTTGTCTCAAATAATTAATGGTGCGGGCTTCTCTACAATTCCAGAATAAGATGGATGTCACTGAGCCACCCATGTGTAGAAAAGTGAGTAGAGAATAGATTCCAGAAAGAACAAAAGCACACTAAATAGAAATCCAGTAATAGAAGCGTCTGCCAAGGGTCCACCAATTATTCCAACTGTCCATGGCTGCATACCGATTAAGATTGACAAGATCTTACAATATTGAACTGTTGAAATTTATTATTGTCTTTTTGTTAAAGCATTTAATTGAAAAGAGACTATAAATATAATATTTTCCTAAAATGGAGACTGTTAAGAGGTCGACATGAAACATCTCGGATGGACGGATAGTCCTGTAACAAGATTTGGTCTATTTATTTAACCTGTCTTGTTGACAATTAAAAAAAATGGTTAATTTTTATTTTTTGTTGTACATGAATGTATTTCTAACACTTCATGACTGGTTGGTTAATCAAGTATTGTTGAATTTAGCGGCATACTTTTACAGAGCTAATACATTTAAGCCTTCTGAGACTGTCCATCGAAGTAGTTCATATTTTAAATTTGAAAAAGAACACAAAATTGAGAAACCACATTATTTAAACAAACTGAGTTGTTCTTCAAACTATTATTGATAAATTCCTTTTTACATTTTCAGCTATGTTTTTTGTGGTTAGCCATTGCATATCATTTGGGAAATCGTCAAGCCAACCTTGCTAGATTGCAAGCTACATCTGCGCATTAACTTTGTTGAGAAGCATCGAAAAGGTATAATTTCATGAACTGATTTATCCTTAGCAGAGCTATAGAAGTCGCTTCTGTTCACTTTTTCAATAATTTACTTGCAGTTGCAGGTGAATTATACAGGGGGCATGGCCTGAAATTATACAACTTCATTTCATCTTCAGAATATTTGTACGGAATGCTAGCCATTGTTTTCATCTTTTAAAGCACCATCAATTAAGAAAAGCTCCATGGAGATCATTTATTGGTTTTAGTTAGGGTGCGAGCAAGTCAAGCTAACTTGTGGGCCTGCTAACTTATGGGTCTGCTCGAACTCGGCTTGATATGTGGCTCGTGAACTAAGCTCGATGATCTAACAAGCCAAGCTCAAGCCAACTGCGACTCGACTCGTTCGCTTGTGAGCCGGCTCATTTTTAAAAAAAAATATATTAATATAAAATATATTTAAAAGATATAAAATATCAAGACTATGTTTAAAGTATTATAAATGTAAAGAAATTGGATGATATTTTATATTTTACATTAAATGATTTTTTTATTATTTATCTTTTAATTATTCATTATATTTGTCATTTTATTATAACACTAGGGTATGTTATTATCAATTTCAGTTATTTGTAATAAAGTAGTTGGCTTGTAAGTCAACTTGTAGACTTGAGTGCAAGCTCAAGCTCGAACTTGATTACTTAATTAAGCTCAAGCTCAAACCTTGTGTGGCTCGAACTAGACTGAAATTGTTTTCACCTTTTAGTTGTAGCTAGAAGTTACTTGAGCAATATAGGTTTTTGGGGCTAATATTTATAAGAATATTTAAAAACATTTTGTTTAAAAAATTGATATAAGATTTAAATTTGCTATATTGCATCTACATCTATCCATTCTGGAGCATTTACATATATTGCCAATCCTATGTACTTATATGTAACATCTAAATATATTTTTTTAACATTTATATCTCTAAAATTTTTTATATTGTGCACTTAATTGAGATATTAGCGATTAAGAGTTGTATATAAAAAAATGTGCCAACACAGATCCTCAGGAGATCTAATGCTCCAAAAGGAAAGGTGGGCTCACTGAGAGATCTCAAGGCATGCTTTGTTTGATTAAGTAAAGTTCTTTGAGCCAAGCTAACAAGACTAAAGCTGATCGAATCACAAGATAGACAAAAGGCAATCCAAGGATGCATAAATGAGCCTCCCAATAAGAAATGAGACAAAGAAGTATTTGAGCCAACTATCACAAGAAGGCCGATCCAAGGGAAAAACTAGTTTCTAGTATCTACAACCCGTCCTAGGAACGCCTAGAGGCTCCCAATAGGGGGTGAAGGATTAACAACTAGATCATATCAACTGACATAACTATATCGACAAGCTCAGATGATCGAGCTAATTTTGCCGACTCGAAGCTAACTAAGCTTAAATGACCAAGCTAGAGAGCAATTTAACAATAAGCTCATGCATGTAAAATACCAAAAATACCCTAGTATGGATCTCTTTAAAACAGGGGGAAAATGTAATATCATAATATTCTATCATCTCTATAAATAGGAGAATAATTTTATGATTATGATACGATAAACTATTATTTATTTTTCTTTTACAATCTTCATCTCTTTATTTTCACTAATTATTGGGTATGATTCATGGATAAATTATGCTTGAACATCTTAAAAGTTGCGGTGATTGTGGATTATGCCGCAAATAATAAGAGTAGCCCAATGAGAAGAAACCCACAACAGAGACCTATATTATGGAGTGCATACGAGAGAATTTGTAGCCTAGCAGATCTAGGAGTTGAAGGATCAATTGTTGGATGTCATTTGAGACGAACTAACTATATGAAGAGCTCAGTAACATCAAGAAGGGTCGGCGCACAACAACATAATAGTCCTCCCAAATTTGTAATGAGAGGGTGAATCCCAGTATTTCCATAATGTTGGATAGACATCGATTGGCATCGATTCAGGCACATTGAGGTACCTTGATGGCTTAAGAATGCGTTCTCTCAGCAAATCTCTAGGTTGAGCTCTCAGAGAAATTCAAGATGCTGAAACTATAGTCCTACAAGGTGCAGACCGTTTTGACCAACCACATAGCCTCATTTGAGTCGAGTGGGTATTTGTTGATGATCACCAACAAATTTAAAAGTTCTCTTATTTATTACACTAAGTGAGTCAACCTTTAGATGGTTCAATGGATTATTGTCCGGAGTAATCACATTGTTCGCCGATTTCAAGTGGATGTTTGTGGCGTAATTTGCTAGCACCTAGAAGCCTTAGAAGAACTCGCAGATCATCCTGCAAATCCTCTAGGGATAGAGAGAGAACCTTTGCTTATTAATCACATACTTTCAGAAATAGATGTTGGAAGTGAGGGAATTGGAACTCACGATCACCCATGTTGCTTTAGCTCAAAGGTTGAAGTAAGTACATGTCTAATACTTCTAGGCTTGCAGTGGTTGAAAACGTTAGCTGAGTTGTTGGAGCTTGCCAACAAGCATATATATCGACGGAGGAGTAAAACTCCAACCCCATTTCCTTAGAGTTCCCCACCCTTCACCCACAGAAAAGGGCTGCCCAAGGTGAGGGATGGAGACCAAGACATGATTCACGACCTTCTCCTGTCCTTAATATGAAGCACTCGACTGCTTCGGGGTCATAAGGCAACCACAAAGTGCATCACTGAGGGAGTCAAGCCTGGTACCCTAACCAGCGGCCATCTCGGTATAATGAGCGCCCGCTTCTAAACCACAAAGTGCTCAAAATAACTATGTTGAGAGTTTTAATGGATGAGATGGCAGAGGTCATATAAAATAAAGACTACTTCAATAGGGCGGGTAGAGCCCCATTGATAAAGACCATAACTTACCTTTAATACCCCAAAAAGTATTGTGCCTATCATTGGGACCATGGGCACGACACGGAGGAGTGCCAACACCTCTAAGGCTTGCTCAAAGAGTTGATTAAGGCTAGGAAACTGAAGAGTTCTTGGCACCAAGAGCAACGACATAATGGTAAGGGAAGGCAGGAGGAATATTGGACCAACCAATTCGAACCCCCAAAAAATCCACATTACAGATATAGTATTTGCCTTTTTTTGGAGGACGTAGAGACCTATCATGGAGAGCTAGTTTGAAGAGGCTTCTGTCGGGATAATTAAGTTCAACCGCCCTTATGCCCAAAATCATCATCGAAGATTTACTCGCTAAGAGTAACCCCTACAATGATGCTATCTTTGTCACCGTGTTGACAGTGCTATCATCAATGCTAACAGCTCTATGAACATATTATTCAAGTCATTTTTTGACAAAATGGGCGTTGACAATGGTCGATTGATTGTTGTGGTTGACCCACTTAATAGATTTTCTAGCAAGAGGAAGGAAGCAATGGGAACCATAGCTCTACTCGTCACTTGGGGGGGGGG